CTTAAAATTATAGCAACAGTTTAGTAATAGTTATAATATCATGCAGTGTGTGTGTTCCTTAAATAGAATAAGCAGAACTACTTCAATATTCATGTATACCACTTCTATTTCATTCTAATATCAGGACTAACGAAGAAACCACTGAAGTGTGGCAAACCGTCGGGTTGATTCACTCACCCACGAAAGTTCTTCATTAACACTAACCATTTTCATCGTTCCTATTTATTGAGGTAATGATTTTAGCTATTTATCATACAGGTCGAAGGTAGCATACTCGTATGGCTGTATATATACAGGGTAGTAAGTTCAAACTGGGAAGAACTTTGATAGCTACAGTTTTTAGCACCAGAGAAAATAATGATCTGTTTTAGAATGAGACACTCGTCATGACGGATAACAGGGCGTCGTCTGCGAAATTTGGGCAAAAATTAACTACTATGCAATCTCCCTTCGCGATACGGACACCACTTCTGAAAATGTCAAGGAATCTATGAAGTAAACTGAAATATGCTCAACCCGGTTAAGAGTTAGAAAGCTGGAAAAACGTTTAAAAAAAAAATGCTTTTGATATACCTACATTTTTTTAAAGGACAATATTTGTTCGGGCCAATCGGGTCGTCTAGCTAAGGTTCAACGACAAGTCTTTCTAAGACTTTTCGCCCTTTGCCAATTTTTTTTTTTTTTTTTGAAATATAAGCCAAGATTCAATTCTGCAACCTGTATGAAGCGTATCTGAGCGGCACTCTAACAAGTTTACATCTACTAATATCGCTTGGTGCACGATTCCTTGTGAGTCTAGGTTCCAAACTGAAGCTGTGATCTAGGTCAATGAAATGATGATTTTCAAGCACAACAGCTCTGACATGCAGAAAACTATCTGTAGATAGAGCAGAGTTATAGATGCACGCTTTTTTGTGCAAATAAGCCCACTGAGAAATAGCTAGCCGGGCAGGTAGTCAGCGAACGTAACGCATTTCGAGTTGTTATTATATGTACGCTCATACAGTGTAGCGCAGGAAATGGAGTAGTTAATGAAGGGAACAGAGCTAGACGAAGGGGCTTGCCTCGTCGTATGCAGATACAATGTACTTTCGCGCCGCGTGCGATCCTCGAGATATTTTTAAGGTACAGTAAAGCTTTCAGGGCTCGCCATCCACGCGCACGCTCACAGGATCTGGCAAAAGGTCGGTGATTGGCATTTACGAGGTCCATCGTGAAGCTGACATCGTGGTATGAATATTTTTCAGAGCCCGTTTAGCTCTGGATAGCATACTGTCAGCAACATTATTGACTGAACTAAGCCCCATACTGCACTGTAGACAAGCCCACAGTCAATGTAAGAAAAATTACATCAAGTCCGTCGATGGTCAAATAAAGGTCTACAGCGGATAAACCCAACAGTTTTAGTAGAGCCAGCCGTCTATACGGCCGGAGATGTTTCGATGGACCTGATGTCGTATGGATGGCCCTACGGCAATTTCATGTATGCATAATAAATACCCATTATATACATATGAATATTCAGTTTTAGTTATTCTCACACAATATAATGGTACGCCAAGTGACAAATAGATGTAGATCGGCTTACTATTCTAAAAAGGATACGATCGGTGCCGATTAACTTGAATATAATATAGGGTTGGTATGCGTGAACGAGTCATTAAGTGGCGGTGAACGACTTGCTTATTATCTTTATAATAACGGTCACGTTTAATATAACTGTGCAAATAATTTCTAGCTGTACGTAGATTATATCAGGAAGTCGAATGTAAATATACGAGATTGGGTGACAAGACGGTGGCGACCAAGTGAACGTACCCTTCCGAGGGTAATGCCCCACTGCACTAGTGAAGACAGAATATAGCAACTGAAACAACAATGGGCAGTCGGATTTTCTGGAAAAAAACGTTTCTACAAATTTGCAGCATACCACTAACTTATTATGATCACGGAATCCTATCTCGGCGAAGCTCTTCGACTATAGATTGGAGCAAATGGAGGGTGTATCAGTCGTAACTAATGACCCATCTGACGGTGTTTCTTATATTTCGTCCCGGGCAGCCCACAGCATAAACAAGAGTTCCGTTATTAGGCCGAAGCTTCGCCTTCGATTGAAGTGTTCGCTCGGCACCTTCGTGTAATGTTTGCTAGCGGATGTCGGCACTGTTCCTACGAAGTGGGCCGTGAAATTCTCGTAATTTTTAACTATGAAAGGAGTGAAGCACCCTCGATCACCTTGCATATGTCTTTTTGCGTTTCAGTAGGTGCATTCATCCACTGTGCCTGAAGATTAACAGGCTCAGTTGGCTTTCTCAGACATCGCTCCTACGAGGCACCTACGACTCGGCCACATTCGAATTTCTGCTGATCGACTAATGGCTTTCGATCAAAGAGAAGCTTTGGCGTTACAATGCTGTTCCTCTAATTGGCGACTAGGTGTTGTTTCCATTCGATATAATGCGACTTGAACTATGACATATAACAATCATAATACATGACTGAAACAGTAGTAGTACTACCTAATAACACACAGATGACGCCATTTTGCTATCGATTATGCAGCGAGAAAAAAGAAGCAGTGGGAAACAGGGAAAAATGTACTCCCAACCGCACTGGTTAACACATGTAATATAGCCACAATTATTCAGTTATAACTATTAATATTATCTTAACAGGCCCAATAATTTAATCGCTCTTGGTAACCTTGGAAATGCTAGTTCGCCTGGTATTTACATCCGATTGTCGTAGTACATGATTTTTAGCAAAAATGTGCTCACAGAAATCTGCGTCTGATCATAGACGTCCCTCGTGTCTCAGATGTAGAATGGCGTTATTATACAGGTGTATTCGATCATTTCATATCTTCGGATCTTCATCAAGCGCTCATTGTTTCATTGTTCAGCTCTGTCGCGCTATTGTCGTGCAAGGACCCACTTTTCCAAAAGAAGATTGAATAAGAGTTGTCTTTGTTTTTTTTTAGGCAATCGTACAGGTATTGACGTAATGGATTGCAATGTGCTGCGTCTCATAGTTACTGGAAACCCGTACATATCTGGCACATAAACTAGCCCTCCCCTTCCACATTTCCCTTCCTTAGGTTATCTAAACCTGTTTATGACAAATAGATATAATCTTAGTTCCGGTTGAGGAAAAGCCTTAAGCAGTGCTTTCATTATTTGATGAATTTGCGCACAACACCTGAAACTGAGTAAGAGAGAGAGTCCTACGTATGCGAGCGCGGAGAGGAGTTTGAGATGTGTTGGGATCGCCGCTGGCATTCCCTTTCCCGAAGACCTAAGCCTCATAAGCCAGGTATGTGGCGATATGAGGCGGCCGAGAAGCAAACGCAAGTATCTATTTGTTCTCTGTGGACCTCCGAGTTTATTAGCCTTTTTTTGTTAGGTTCGATTCAGGACGACTTGTGAACCTTGTGTGAATGATATGGCATATCGGGACCAGCATCGTTTTCGCTACGAAAACTTGTGAAAATACTTTGTTAGCTTCAATCGAACTTGAATACTAAAGAAAGTCGTCTGTTCTCAAGCAGACGATGTGACACAGTGCGTCTACGTATCGGATACTGCAGTACTATTGTGTTCTATATCTGCGAACACTTTTTTCTTCCGACTCCGTTTCCTTTACTGTATACTATACGCTAACGTGCAAGACGTATGTCGTGCTCGGACTTGGCGTTTGGCCAATTGTCATACGGAACTGCGAGGCGCTGAGTGGTTGTAGTGAAAATTTAAGGCCTCAAGTAGTAGTGATACAATCCAACACCCAGGTGAAATCGGTGCCTTCCCTCTGCTCGTCTTCGATGAGTTCAGGCGACGAGAGCTCGACAGACGTCTCTACAGACCTTTCAGAGGTGTCTTCGTCCCCCTTATCGTACGAACCGCCTCTGCCGTCAACGTACGCTATGGAGTCAGTTCTTTACAGTAATCCGTCTTTGAATTCCGTCTATCTGGAAAACTCACCCGCCTGTACACCAGTAGCACTCTATGGAACGTTTCGTAATTCTAGTGCTCCCTGTCATGCGTCTTCTACATTTGAAGGGATTCTGCCACCGCTTCGTCAAATGCATTTGTCCACTTGCGAAGAAATTACGCCATCGAAATACTATTCAATAGGAGATGATATTGGGTATGCGTCTAATGGGTAAGTGTGAATCTTGATGTACATCTAGAAGCAACTTCAGCTGAAGCAGCCATTACGTAGATTTGTAGCGTTTAGGGAACGCGGAACGCAATCATGATTTTTGCCTCGAGTTTTGAACTTTTGCCGCGAACCGCCACTTCATTGCCCCGAGACAATACGTCAGTCAGTCAGGAAAATTGTTTTTACCCTTTTATTGTGTCGATTTAACTAGGGCAAACTATTGCAAAATCACTCAGATGACAACAACAATAGAGCAGCGTGTAGATTTCAGACTAGCCATGCTGTCGGAACTTAATCAACGCTACCTACCTTGTAAACGTTACTTTCTCAGATGGTGGAACTCGCTGTTAATGAACGGCCTGCCTCAAATTGACAAATCACTAAGTCTATTTTAATTTAGCAACTTTCTTGGCGTCTTATATGTTAAAAAAACTGAAGTCGAACCCGCTGGTATATCAATTGAGGTCAACTGCCTATGTTCGGACTGGAAACCAATTAAAATTGACCAAAAATTTCCCAAATTTCTATTTCGGTTCGACAGCGAGCTACGCATCCCGCGGCTGCGCAAGTCAAACTGAGCGCACTCGATGAAATGTTCCGCCGGCCACCACCAGACGGAGCCTCGGTACCCACCTTTGGAGGGTCGCTCCATTGGCGCATGCGCCATGCTGCGCCGCTAGCCATTGGCTATGAGCCACGAAGACCCGCCCCGTTTATTGTAGATCTCACTTGAGGATGATTTTAGAGGAGGGGCTTTATCCCTCGGGACGTGTCGGATCGGCGCGGGTGCGTCGGGATCGCACACAAGTGAGTTGGCCTCTGCGGGACAGGCGGCTCGGCTCCTCGAGGAGTTCCAGCACGAGAGCCAGCAGCAGCAGCAGCAGCAACGTTGAGTTGAGAATTTCCTACAGCGCTCGGAGTTCGAACGGCGCGACTTAAAGTGGAACGAGTCGCGCGTCTTGGCCGCAACCGACAACGCTATCGACGACCACAATTTACTGGTGACCTGTGCCGTGCGAACGAACAACTTCGAATCGGCGTTGATTGCGGTATCTGTCGGCCCATTCTATTTTAGTGCGCGCCAGCAGCAGCAGCAGCAGCAGCAGCAGCAGCAGCAGTAGCAGCAGCAGTAGCAGCTGTTATTTCGAATAAGTTCATATTGCATTGAAGCGAAAGTTCTACTACTACCACCGATACTGTTTACTGTCTAATGACTCCATGAGATGAAAAATCGTTCATCAGTGTGTAGTGTGTAATAGATGAGAAAAGAGAAAAGTAAGCCACACATCCAAAGAAACGAACCTGTCGACTAGCTGTGACAACGACAAAGTGTATGAACGCCGAAGTTTCATTTTCGAGTGCGACAAAAACTGTTACAACTGTTTTTGTTATCTGTACGTTAATTTCGTCGGTACAAACGGAAACAAAAACAAATCCCGTCAGCTAGTGAAACCACTGAAGTGTTTCTGTCTATCCGCCTTAGCCATCGTTATTGTTATACAGTACTTTGTGCACGATCTATCGACGTTCGTAGTAGAAAAACGTCTGACCGCCCCTCTTTCGATGTAACAGAAAGATGAAGAGGGAATAGAAGAATCACTCATACCATTCAACCCGTTCAGCCTGCATAGAATCCAACGTGTTATAGAAACTCATCTCGAGCTGTGCATTCGGACCTGCGACAGTCCCCCATCCACGGACAGTGTTTGGGGCTGTAAGAAACAAGATCAAAAAAGAGTAGCAGAACAGGCACAGTGTAGTTTATCGTTCTTTTCATTTAACACTAGTTAGATTACAATCAATTTTACAAATAATATACATTCACAGCAAGCAAACGCGAAAGACAACTCAGTCAAACGTCATCATCCGTTCAGCTCAACGATCGAATCTGTTGAGTGCCGCCAGCGATCAGTGTCCACCATCAACTCCTATCGAGCGCGCCACCTCAACAGTCTCTACGGGGTGTTTATCCTTGATTAACTCTATGATTGCCACCAGCTGACAACGCAATATCGAATCCCAACTTCAAAATCAAGAAGCGTCCAACCTTGAAATTTGTTGTTCGCAATCAACCCAGGTTTTTGAATAAATGTACAAGCGGGCGCGGTAAACATACTGGGTTAGAGCAGTTTGTCTGGCAGACGGAAAGGCGACGACGGCGATACATGTATCGACTGGTGCTCGGCTCTTAGTCGCGCTGACGGACGCGTAGTCAGAAGACGACAAAAAACGAGAACATATCGTAAATCTACTACTAGAATTTTTGCGCAGGATAGCAAATCATCAACATAGAAACCAACTAAGTAAAAAGGCGTAACACTAAGTATATGCGCCCACTTGAAAGTGACCGTCCTATAACTTGATGTTCGTACTATCATCGCTAATATAATCACCCAATTTGAAGAAGACCACAACCCAAGTGACAGGCGGAATTGATCACGACGGGTGGCGCTGCCCGCGGAGGCTGGAGTGTCCTTCCTGTGCCCGCGGCCGATCGGCCTATCGTCTTGCCTAATACCCGCAACAAGCCACCGGTGACAGCGGCCAGACTCTCCTGTGCGTGTCTCACGTCGGCACCTTTGTTGACTAACGTGTTCGCCGTTATTTAGCTATCTAAGGTGCATAACGACGCTCATAACGTGACGTGAGGTGCAGTGTCGTGTCTTCAGCCACCGACCGAACTCGACGAACGGCCAGGAGATGATGTTCGGTCTGCACCAGGACGCCGGCCTACAGCCGCGAGGGCCCATGGCCTCTCTCAAGGAGGAACCTCTGGCAGCGGCCCAGATTGGAAGGGGCTGGCCAACTATGCAGCCAACTATGCTTGACCAAAGCAGGTAAGAATGGGAAAAAGAAACAAAAACTCATTTCAATACATTTATCCAGTTTTCCGCTTTCATTGTTAGCATGCGTGACAATCTCGATCGGCTTTGCGGTGAGGGGTGGGGGAAAGGCGCCATGTGGTAACGCAGAATGCAGCAGAAACCGCCATTCGAATGTGCCACAGCAGACGCCAACATGGAGGTTGTCTAACGTCAACAAAGCTTGTTATGGTTTTCGGATTTATCTACAACGAGCTGTCCGGAAAACGCTTTGGACCTTTGATAATGCTCCTATTAAAACTATATTTTCTATATCAGAATCAATGGAAAGCGACTCTAGGTCGCTCTGGAAAATGAATATATCCTCCATATCAAGACACTTCGATCTTGGCTTCAAACGTGTGTGACCTGACCTGCAAAAAAGGGGTCTTTTTAAGCGGCTAGATAAAAGCACTCGCTGCATATGGTCGATGCACTAGAATAAGGATACCAGATGATCCTTAGAGCGGTGTAGTAGTGAAGCTTAAGTAAAGTTCTCTCTTAAATAATAAGAACGGTTGGCGTGCAAAGCTAATACATGCTAGTTATAGCCACCTAATGCACCGGACACAGAAGATCTTGTAGGTCAAATATGTTTTTGACACCGTAATCTTCTCATAAAATCTTCCCGTTCGTGCTCGGCTTTCGTTTAGCCAATACTATTAAGATACTATGAAGGCAACATTGATGCCGTTTGCAAAACAGGCCTCCTGTGTCGTGCATGACAGAAGTTTCGTCCGGTATATCTAGAACTTGGTGAAAACTTTCTCATTTTTCCTCGAATTTCCTTGTGACAATACTCCTTCTAGGACATCGTTCTTAGGTAACCATAACTTGTTGGCAGTAACTTATCTGTCATTAGTACGGACCAGCATAGACAATTCGTAGTCGTTTGCTAATCTTGGACACTCCCTTTGCATGCGAATTGGCAGACGGCGTGCCGAATCCTGGAGGGTCATGCGAGAACAGTAATGAGCGTAAACCGGAGGAAGCCAGGCAGGGGGCAAAGGAACGGGGATCAAACCGGTGCTAAACGAGTACGTAATTTGTGGGGGATCCTAAATAAGGGCGTGAATGCAAGGTATCGTTGGTTGCAGGGTCAAGCATACCGTGTAGCAGCCCACGGCAGTGGCAAAGGATGAGAGTGAGCGACTTCTTCAAGCAAATACTGTGAGACAGACTAAGCGGAAGGACATCCGAATCGAGTAGCTGCAGGGACTGTAGCGGTGACAATCCACTTCATTAACGCCATTACAACACTCTCTCCACAGTATGCGCCTGCCTCATTCTGACTGTCTTGAAACAGACCGCTACTGCTGGTAACGGCTGACGACTGAACCCTGGAGAAGGGTCTAGGGAGCGCTTTGGTATTCTTACTCTCACGACCCTTTTGCTTCTCGAGAGGGCATCGAGACGACGGTGGCAGTGCTCTTAGCTTTGCCTGTTGCCGTCGCCGCTGGATAAAGCTAACTCGATTTCTAATCTGCTTGTGACACTATTACAACGGTTAGCTAGCTAACCCCATTCTGTCGGTCGCCATTCCCGTTCCGGACTTCAACTTGAAAGCACGATCTTCTCTGTTCTTTGATGACACGGCCCCATTCTGATGCTTTTTCGTATTTTACTCTGTAATTGGGTATAAGATTGATTTTAACAGAAGAATGCTATATGCTTTATAGCATAACTAACAACTATCACTCACTGAAAAGCTCGGCCAGTTATTTCCAACGTGTGTGAATTGTAGTACTTGGCAAAGAAGCTATAGAGGGTTATATAGTGTAGCCATATTTGCCCTAGTGTTAATACGTCTGCTGTCACCTTAATCGAATGGTCGTCATAGTAAATAATGAATACATACATAAAATAGTAAAATTACCTTCGCATAAGATCAACTTCAGTGGAAAGTAACGTTTATTGTCCGTAAGAGTTAGATGTGTGTGTATCGCGCCTCACTGGGATAGCCCCTGACGTCAAGCGTGTAACAATATGAAGCCAAGGTTATCGTATAGTTGTTGTTTAGACACTGTACTACCCATTGTTAACGACTAGCGAAGCTGCTCTTCCCACGCCAAATGTGGAGAATTCTGGCCATCATATTGTTGCTGTTATTTCTGCTTCTGCTGCTGCTGCCGCCATTGCTGGTATTGCAAAAACATCCGCAAAGTTCAATTGTACTGTGTGTGGTCGCTATGTCGCCTCCCTGGCGTGCCCTTATGGTCGCCTATTTGTGTACCAAAAGTATCATGTAAGATCACCCTGGTACTACTGGCGCATCTTTTGGCTTTTCGTATTTTCTGCTTGTTTAAGTGACAGCCCGATTTGACCAATCGGTCCCCCGGGATCTGCACAGTCCAGACTGACTGGCTGGTAGAACCATCAAAGTGCAAAATAGAGCAGTGGCGGCAGCGACTAAAGATCCGATGGACGGGGTGCAGATCCTCGGATTCGAACCGGCACTGTTCGAGTTGAGGAGAAATCTTCAGACGTCGACAACTGGGGGTGGGGCTAGCCTTCAGTCTCTCTATGTATGTCTGCTCGTTACTCATGCATTTGTGAAGATTGGGTTAGTAGTAGATCGAGGGTTCAAGAAGAAAATCGGATGTTCAGATAATGTGTATGCGTGTGTAGGACCTGGATTGTGAGATTCATACGTATGTCTGTGTATATCTCTCGCTTTCTTCCTTAATGTAGAAATTTGTGCAGTTCGGGAGTGAAGATGCCACCAAGGTGAATTCATAATTTGGGAGAAGAATTCATTTTGTTGGGCTGTCCCTATGGATATTCTGCAGTCTTCTCGAACTGAGAAGAGGTTGCGGATGCCTTCGCAGTAGACCACACTCACTGCTGTAGTCGCAAAATTATAATCAAACTTTGATTTCATCATTATGACTTGAATAATTCTAGTTGCAAATGTTCGATTTTATATTTAACCGATAGAAACTTATGACCATGTGCAACCGCTACGCAGAAAACAGATGGTAGAAACATTTACAAAGTTAAATTGAGCTTGCAGTAAAGATTTTTTAGTAAATTTAGCAATTTCTGAACGGCAACGCAAAATCTAAATCTGTTTGTGGTAGAAATAATGTATGTTTATGCCTATGCGGGTTTATGCCTAACGACAGATTCACTACTGGACTGTATTTCCTAAAGCAAAAAGGCAACGCAGACTTTTAGCCCTGTAAACCTGGGGCCTGTAAACGTAATATACCTAATCCTCCCCAGCACAGCCTCGATATGAAAATACGACTTATAAATTATTTGGTCAAAGCAAAAGTGTTATATCGGATGTATATGCATGTCTGTAACAATCACAGTGATGTTATCTTGACAAATCTGTTCAAATTATTATTTATCTGTCTATATTAGCATGTAAAATTCGAAGCTATTTCTTAGAAAAACACATACGCCACTGATTAAATATATTTAAACTTCGTCATTCTTCATTCAAAAATCTACAGGGTAAAATATGCACCCGCAGGCTATGTACTCTTTGGAACAAGAAAAAAAATATAATACCCTTTGAATTAGTGACGTCCAATAAAGATTTTTACAATCTTAAATTAAATTAATTAGTAATACCTAGGTACTCTTGTATATAAATGGTAAAAAAAAAGACTTCTTCCATTTCAAGTTTTCTTTTATCGAAAAAAATATTACGGAAATCGTTCACGTTACTGTGTTTTTTTTCTTTTCAAAAAAGCATATCTTGAACATTAATCGTTCCGCAATGAAACGTTAGTAATACTTCGAAAAATATAGTGGCACCAGCTATAACACGAGTGACTGTACTCATATAAACATTCCTTTACATCGACTACAGAGATGACAAATATAGGTTAAAAATGATTATTAATTAGTAACTTAGAAAATATTTTCCATCAAATTTAGTACTTGAAAATACTGGGTCGGACTGTGAAATGACCGATGTGACCATCATGACGAGAAGGGGCCTTTTTGTTGTCGAAAGAACACGTTCCTTTAGAAAATCGGCATTGATAACATAGTGGAACCGCTGGGAACCATTTCCTAAAAAGAAATTCGAGAGTTGTTCGATAGGCAAGGAAAGGATAGGTATGATCGGCATCTCGTAGGAGGCCGAGAGTGCACCCTTCGAACCTGTCGTGATCCTCCTGCAAGCCGGCTACCGTTAGTGCATAGATTTCGAAAGAGAATCCTCTGTCGCGGTGGTCGAAGCCTTTGGCGCCAAACCGAAAATGATTCGATGCAACTTTGAAGTTCATATAGAGTCCGTATCTCTTTTTCTCAGCTGATTGCGAGGCACAGGGCGATGCAATCTCATCAGAAGCTACACAGAACGGCTAATTTGGTGGGTGGTTCAATTGACAAAAATACACAGGCAGTGGTGGGTAGTTGACAGTAATCGATGCACCAACGAAGGGAACGTTGGTAGGAACATTGCAACTTTCCTAACAAGGGGAACAAACCTTTTTTTTCCGTAAAAATTTTGTAAGTCAGTAGCTATGCCAATCGCTAAGGGACAGGCGTTTACCGAAGCAGCCTTCGAGGGGCCCGTGAACCGAAAGCGCAGCAGACGAGAAATTCCGACTGACTTAGGTAAACTTCGCAAAGTAACTGTCCAACCGTCGTCAGCCGATATTAGAACCGTCGCAACAAATAGCATTATGTCGACGAAACGTCCGGAATGATGTTCGCTCCAGGCGCTTCCGAATCTAGCAGCCTTCCTAACTTAGATATTGGCGAGTCTATAAACTTGGGAGGCTTTTTGTTGCAACGAACCACGTTTCAGAGAAAGCCGCAATAGGTCTCAGAGCTGGTCACGAGTGAGACCAAAACGGAGGACGTCGAAACGACTGAGAATCGTGCACTCGAGCTAAGTAAGGTAGCTAGATAGCGTATTTGGCGTACAGCGGAATGAAGAGGTAGCCAATCGTGCTTTATGACTGACTTCTACCATCATCTACTATCACCGGCATCGACGTCATCAACTCACT